TGCTCAGGTCAATAGAGTAGTAGTAGCACTCTTCCCTAAAAAGCTGTTCATCAAAATGGGAATTATTACACAGAATTTATGCTGGTTGAATTGTCTAAACTCTGCCTGACCTGAAAATAAAGTCCTGGCTTATTCAGCGTTATGAACATTCACCAACCAAATCAAATTTCCCTCATGAAAATGGTTTAGAATCTTGCTAGTTTAGTTGAATTAAAGGTTCCTCCAAATTATATTTTAATGTAAAAAACTAACCATTGTTGTGCTGTGGTACTTCTGTATGATAAGAAGGTATAAAGAAAGAAATTCCCTACAAATAACCATTTCTTCAATGACAAATATATCAAATGGAAGAGACTGCAGGTGTGCTTCACTTTTTAAAAGTATACATGTCCCTGCAGTGTTTTTCCTTTTTGGAAATTGAATTCTATTTTCTGCTGACTTATATTTTCCAAAAACCAAAAGAAAACAAAAAATCAACCCTAATCTTTCAAGTTGAAACATATCTGTCTGTCACCTCCATATTTTCTTCAATCAATTTGTTGATGAAATGTAATAAACACACCTAAAAATATGGGGTAAATTGTTTCAGAACTAAGTCATCCTTTTTTTTTTTTCCCCACACACATTGGACCACAGATTCTTAACCTGGGATCCAAGCACTTATTTGTTTTTTAAATATTTTGAGAAGTGGATTTCAATATACTTCAAAACAATAAGTTTCCTTTGTAATTCCACCTTTTTTATTTTATGCATTTTAAGAATTTATTCTTAGAAAGAGTCCAGGGGCAGCTAGGTGGCACAGTGGATAGAGCACCGGCCTTGGAGTCAGGAGGACCTGAGTTCAAATATGACCTCAGACACTGGACACTTACTAGCTGTGTGACCCTGGCCAAGGCACTTCACCCCATTGCCGAGTTTAAAAAAAAAAAAAGGAGTCCAAGACTCAGGGGGGCCGTGACCAAGAAAAAAAAAGGTTAAGAATCTCTGCACTATAGACATGTCCCCATGTCATGTATATTTATATTTGTGTGTGTAACAGTAGAACCACTCCAGCTCTGACATTTGGTCAAACTGCAGCCAAGATTTTCAACCTGATTGACAATCTCTGCCAATCCAAGTAACATGAAGATGGAAAATATCTGATTGGTTCGAGTGAAATCACTATTGAAACCATTGTTCAACTGTTCTGCCATCAAAAAATAGTAACCAAAGACATTAAAAGCAATAGCTTAAACATTGGTAAGTGACAATACCAGGTGGCACAGTAGATATGTGCTAAACTTGGAGTCAGGAAGAACTGAGTTCAAATCTTGCCTTAGACACCTACAAGGTAGGTGTTATTTAACTGTGCAAGTTACTTAATTTCTCTTCTACCTCACATCTTCCTCATTTGCAAAATGATGAGATTGTAGGCCCCCAAAATTCCTTCCAGTTTCAGATCTGTGATCCTTTAAGGTCTTTTTTTTTTTTTTTGGAAAGTTCAAAGACATTCAGGACTTTTTAGGATCCTATGTTAGGTGGCAGCATTGATTAAAGAGATGGGCATACATGTATGTATGTTTACTGACAAGAAGAAGCAAAAGCCAATGTAAGCTGGTAGGAGACTGCTTGGAAAGGAACAGGCACAGATAGGAGCTTCAGTAAAGGTCCTATTTTTTCCATTTAATTCCTCTTACTAGCCTTAGGTCGGCTTCTTGTGACACGGGCTATCAAGAGTGACATCCCCAAAATGAGTTCTGAAGGGCACCAGCCCCACCAGAAGGATCATAAGTAGCTATGATATTATGATAAAGATCATAAACAGCACCATCCAGTTGGGATCTATGCAGTATCCACTTATCCTCACAGACTTCTTGTATATTTTTTTCATAATGTATTTCGCATTTCACTTTGAAAAGAAAGTATTTTTTCTTGAATTAGCTAACCATTAAAGTTTGGTCTTCTGTTTTAGGCATCCCTTTCCTGAGTGTGAATTACCAAAATTCTTCAGGAAGCAATGTATTTAGTCTTGATTTAATCAAAGTCAGTGTTTGTACCATTAAATACATACATATATATATATATATGCATATATATATGCATATAGATGGAGGAAAAAAATCTAAATCATTTAAAGGTAGTAATGGTTTAACCTGAATCCTTTCCTTTAAAATTTCTTGGAGTATTTCTTCGAGTCATGACTACATTTGCTGAAAAGTGAATCTATTGCATTTTTAGAAGATACGAAGTGCATCTCTGTCGTGTGATGTGAGTCTCATGTCAGCTGCAGCTACTCGATTTGCATGTAAATTCTGAAATTTTCCTTGTCCCGTTGTGACACTTCTGAAATGTCTGTCTGTTCTTTTTTTTTTCTTTTTAATTTCTCAAGCTCACTATTTGGATAAGATAGTTAAAGGTACTGTATATTTACTCTTTGTTGACATGTCTACACACACACGCACACACATATATATATACACATATCTATATACACAGAAAAAATATGTATATAATATTGCATTAGGTGTGAAAATAGATTGTTTCCATGCATAATTTCATGAATTATAAATCAGGCTCACATTATGTGAAATGCTTCCATTGACAGTATGAAGACCTCACTGTCTGTGTCTCACATTAGCAGTAATGAATATCACTAGTTGCATCATTATGTAAATGCATTAGTTTTCACTGGAACCAAAGCTGAAGACAACAGATCATTTGCTATTTTCCTGGCCCTCTTAGCTCCATCATTGGCAATTCAGTTTTAAATACTTCCATTAAAAAAATACATGCCTCTTAACTCTCGTGTCTCTGCATAAGAAACTATCAAAATGAAGGCTTTTGATTGATATATGTATATAAATATATATGTGGTTATCAAGAAAAAAGCTCATTTATCCAGATATACTGGATTATTTGTTTTACTAAATGTTTGAAGATATGAATGCAATTCTGTCTTTACATTTCATATAAAGACTGTCAAATGTATTTAATATTGATATTGAACCCATCATAACAAAAGGAATGAGGGACCAGAATAAAACAGCAGATTCTCATGTCTTCAGCTGTTGTAGAAATAGGTAACTGTAAAAAGAAAATTGAGATTAAAAAACCCTCTTTCCCCTTCTCAGATTATGTATTTTCTATTCCTTCTTTGTGCTTTTCATTAGAATATGGCAATATTCATGGCAATATCCAGGCTTTCATACAATAACACGTGTGTGCATGCAATCAGCCACTGCACCTTTTTGTTGGTAGGGCAACTAAGTATTTCATTTTCTTCCAAATCGAAACCACCACCAAAAAAATCCCAACATATTCAGTAGGAAAATTAGCCTTTTATGCTTATTATATAGTTCATAAATATAGGTGGTAACTGCCTGAAAGAAAACAAGCAGCAAAATTAATCTTAGACTGACCTGTTGGTATCCATAAGACTAATTTCATTCCTCCTTGCCACAAGAGACTTTCAGAACCCCCTTCTTTCTGTTACTGCCGATCTTAAGAGACAACAGTGTCTCTGGGAGATATTTCAAGTTACATAGTGGAGAATGGGGAGTTGACGAATTAATTCTCTTAAGGGAGACTTCAGATGTAGAAATCTCTTTAAACAGCTTGTCCTAAACAGCATCTGAAATGTTAACTTTGTCTTCAAAACAAGGGCAGCGTTCTAACTGGCAAAGACAATGGAGTGTTTGAAGTAATGCCCATTCACTCCTCCCCCCAAATAATTAGCAATAATAATAATAACCTGCTGCACCAAATATTTTTATTTCTATCTCGTATAAAGTTATTGACAACTGTGTTTTCCTAGCGATCTGATTAGTAGCCACTTCTTATTAGGACGTCAGTGCCATTTCTGTCCTTGCTTTTGTCAGTGTCTTATCACACTCATAAGGATAAGAACACCAGAATCTGCCTGAGTGTCATCCTCATACACAGCTCATGTTGGCTGCATGCCAGATATCATCGATAGGAATTGGCAAAAACTGTTTCTTATTATGTAATGTTAGACTGAGACAATTATAGATTTTGGATATATTAAAGTATTTTAATTGTTTCCCAAATTTTCCCTCCTTGCCCATAAAAGCAGACAAGATAGGATATAAAGGTAACAGCATAAAAAGCCTTAGGGAGATTGTCACAAAATATCACTTTCTGCTATCTGTCTTGAAGCACGTCACTACCGTGTTTTTGTTCAGTCTATCAATGTTTTATTGTGGTCCTTATGGTATTTCATTTTGTCCGTCCTAAGTAATCAAATACGCATAGCTATTACATTTAGCTGGAAATCCTGTTGGTCCTGTCCCATCCGTATGCAGCCTGAATCCTGATGTTTGTTAGAATAGATGCTAAAGCTGCTTCACTATTTCCTGGGCTTTGCTTCTTCTGTGAAAAGGAATGTACTGTGGGCATAAAGTATAGTCATTACAACTGGCCTATACTTTGTGCAGTTATTTAACGCACTGTAATTTCACATGAACGCACGGCAACTCTGAGACCAGATAAAATTAACATTCTCTTTTAACACCATTCATATGCTCATGCCCACTTTCATGCTTTTGGAATTAGAGGGATCTGTTTAAAGCAACAAGGTACTTCCAAGAAGGCCTTTCCTAGCAAGTAACCAATAATGCCTGCCACAGATTCAAAATCTTGAATAGGGATAAATTACCTTGATTCAGACATTGTTTCACCCTGCACAGTCAACCTTGTTGCTTTACTGAGGGAAATAAAGTAAACTTAATTTTGTCTGGCCTGCAGGTATTTAGAGGATTGTTGCATGATTCCATCCCACACAGGTAAGTGGTGTCTCAAGAGTCAGGCCAATCAAAGATGCCACTTGGTTAAGACCTAGATTCCTTAGGGAATGTTGCTGTTTCTATCCATGTGCAATTACAGTATTTGTGCTGTTTATAAAGGCCTGTTCCCAGTAAGTGTCCCTTATTTGTTCGTACAGAGTTGGGAATTCTTTCCATACTTAAATCACTCGTGATGTCCTTCTTTGTCTATTTTGACAGAGGGTTGCCCTGGTCTGTGCAATAGCAATGGAAGATGTACCCTGGACCCAAACGGCTGGCATTGTGTTTGCCAACCAGGGTGGAGAGGCGCAGGATGTGATGTAGCCATGGAGACCCTGTGCACAGATAGCAAGGACAATGAAGGAGGTAAGATGTCCTGAGCAAGGGGAGACCATTGTGTGTGTGGCAGAGCAGAGGTGTAAAAAGCTCCAGTAAGGCTCAGAGTTGTGAGCTGCTGGCCCATTGGATCCTTCAAGATTAAAATGATGGAGGCCGGCACAGTGGTTAAGAAGCTCAAACAAATGCAGGATCACTTTGTTTAGAGGAAAAACAAAAGTAGTGAAACTTCAGTTGTCAGTGCTGGTTTTTCCCCATACTCTTTCCCAATGCTCCAGCATTCCTTTTCCCAATCCATCTCCCCCCAGCCTGGCCTGTCCCCCACCCCTAGTATGATATATCCATTCCCACTTCTTCCTACCATACTTCATGTCCCCCTTTTCTAGGTATTCCTCAGCTGTCCCTTTTAGTTCTTTTCTCCTGGCATCACACACTCACTACAGACCAAAATGAAATTTAAAAGGAAGCTCCCTTTAAGAGCTTCCTTAAGAAAGGAAACATGTTTAGGTTATAGGGGAACACATCTCACTCACACACACATACACACCCTTTTATCCTGCTGCAATTAGTCCTCTTCTTTATTCTCTAAGCACCAGATAGCCAAAAGGGTGCATAGAAGGATGTCTACAGCTGCTGAACAAATTCTGGTTTTTAGAAGATGGTATCAAAGAAGCAGTGCATAAATAGATGCCAGAAAAAAAAATAACAAGAGTACAGTGGATCAGTCAGCCTCTATTAAGCACCTACTACGTGCCAGGCACTGTGCTAAGCACTGGTACGGTATGTGGGAGGATGTCCCTCTGCAGCAGGGCTCCATATTGAGCTTCTGTCATGATGCATATCTTACCTGGTGGCTGGTGGGAGGGGCGGGTGAAGACCACAGGCTTTGTAGTCAGAAGTCCTGGATTCACGTCTCACTTCTGTCTCTCTTTACCTGGGTGACTTTGGCCAAGTCACTTCACCTCTCTAACCCACAGTTTTCTTATTTACAGAGTGAGAAGGATGAGGGTCCCGAGGGTCCCTTTGAGCCATAAATCTCTGATACTCAATAGCCAAAATTCAGAAATATTCTAGTTTACTCTTAAAAACCAAAGGAGATTATAGGAAGGTGTCTGACATTTCCTTAAAAGGACTCTAACCTTTCTTTAGATTTCTTTTGGGGGGGGAGGGAAAGAGTGAGGCAGAATGGTGGTGATTATTGTCATTAAGGATTCCTGTGGTTGTTTCCATAAATACCAATGTGGCAGAGAGGCAATGTGGTGTGTCGGACAGAGAACTAGTCTCAAAGCCATGAAGACCTGGATTCCAATTCAGCTTCTTGCCCGTACTGACTGTGGGACCCTGGGTACATCACTTAACTTCTCAGTGCTCTAGACAAGTCTCTACAGTGAAAGGTTTCAAAGAAAGTGCATTGGTAGAGGAAACACATCTAGGAGTTTCTGACACAGATCCAGTCACTATACCAACAAAAGTCACCATTAATTTAAGATCTCTCATAAAACTGTAGAAGAAAATGACCTTTGCAAGTTGCATATGTTTAGGCTTTGACTAGGAAAACATAAAATGAAGATACCATTTAAACATTAACCAAATTACACCTAATCCTTTCTTTTCTACTTAAGGTTAAATCAACAGTTAAATGAGATCATTGGTCTTTGATTTAACCAGCAAGTTGATAATCAACAGTCATTATCTAGAGAGCTGGGTTTCCAGCCCCCTTCTCTAACTCCCTTCCTGTATAGGAAAGACCGGTTCCCTTAAATATATAAAAAGATGTGTAAGAGGATGACTTTGTGCCCTGTGTGCCTTTCCTCCAAAAGGTTTCTTCCATTTATACTGTATATATCTTGTAGTTATTTGCATGTCATCTCTCTCATTAGAATAAGAGCTCCTGGAGGCAGGGGCCTGTACGTCCTTGACGCTTAGCACAGTGCCTGACACATGGTATGCATTTCACTGGGGAGTCAGTGGAGATCAGGGCTGGAAATAGATATCAGGGTGTCATCTGCACAGAGGTAATAATAGAAAAATCTGAGAATGGATAAGATGGCAGGTAGAGAGAAAAAGCAGAAGAGGGCAGAGGAAAGAGCCTTGAAGATCACTCACCTTGAAGAGTCAGAGAGAAGATGTCAAACCAAGTGACAGGACATAATGTCTTGGAAGCCAAGGGAAGTGGATGTGTCCAAAGGGAGGGAGTGACCAACAATTATCAGATGCCGTAGAGAGGTCAAGGTGGAGGCTTGGGATTTTACAATTTCAGGAGGTCATTGGTACCATGTTATACATTCCTAGCTTATAGGGAGATTGCAGTTTAAGAGGGGAGATTCATTTTAGTTCCTTGGTGCCTAACAGCGTCCCCAAAATATTTTGGACAGAGGCTGAATTAAGAAGTGTAAGGCAGGAGTTCTAATGCCCCAGGAGAATAAAAAGCTTCTAGTCTATTCTACCGAAAGGACACTTTTTCTCTGTAAGGACCAGAATGGGGGCAGGGGGAAAGGGTAATAAAGATAGATGAAACAGAACATTATTTACTTCTTCTGTTATCTCTCTCAATATAAGTACAACATAAGATGCTTGCCATGATTAAGAACGAATCCTCTTTCTTGCTTAACATTTCCGCACTGATCTGTTTGTAGTTTGAGGGAAAAAAAATCAGAGATTTGAAATGTGATGGGGGGGATCAGAAAGGGAGCGGGGGGGAGACCAAAAAGATGGAAGACAGGAGAAAGCAGAATGACAAAATAAAGACAGTATCAGGGGGAGCAAAGAGGGGAAACAGATGGAATTGATATGAGAGACAGAATGAGGGGACGGTCGATAGCAGATGTCACCGGGGTGGAGCACAGAGGTCCCGGAACAGGGAGGGGAGACGTTTTAAAGACAGGGGAATAAAACTCTGCTCATGTCTAGACAAGGGGGAAAATATCATTTTCTCAGAAAGAGACAAATAAGCAAAAGAGAGAGGGCAGAACAAAGAGTAGGGACTAAAAATAGTTAAATGAAAATCAGAGAAGAAACCCAGAGGCAGAATGACTGTCTTCTCAAAGAGAATGCAGGTTTTACCAAAGCATAGGCCGGCAGGCAAGCATTTAGTAAGCACTGCCTGTGTTCCAGGCACTGCACTAAGTGCCAGGGATATGTAGAGAAGAAGAAAGACAGCCCCTGCCCTTGAGAAACTTACACTCTAACGGAGGGAGGCAACAAAAGAGGATTGAAAAGCACGTGAAGCAAGGGAAAGAAGCAACTCACACAAGAGCCGTGGTGGTGAAGGCCAGAGTCCATTTGGAAGAGGAATGAAGCATACCAGCCAGACCTTGTCTCCAAAATGGAGGTCCCAGAAGGAACTCACCCATGGGAGAATGAGGCCTGCATGGCAGAGGGAAGTTCCAGTGTGAGATAGCCCTTCATTCATGGTATGTCAAAGTCTAGAGGGCTAAAAGCAGAGGCAGGAGGAGAATGGAGTAGAGTGACACAGAGGCCGTTAGATAGTGCAGTGGAAAGAGCGTCAGGCCTAGGGTTGGGAAGATCTGAGTTCAAATCCCATCTCAGACTCTCAGTAGCTGTGTGAACCTGGTCAAGTCACTTAACCCCTATTTGCCTCAATTCCTCATCTGTAAAATGTGAACATAATGGAGAAGAAGATGACAAACCACTCGGGTAACTGCCAAGAAAATCTTATAAACAAAGTCCATGGGGTCATGTAGAATCAGACACGACTGAACAAAAGAAAAACAGCATAGAGTGAATCAGAGGAAGATTAGGTTCTCAGGACCTAAAAAGGCACTACTCAGAAGAGAAAGCAGCAGTTGGAAATTAGATAAAAATTATAATGTGGAAATACTGTGAAAATTTTAAAAACTACTGACATTGTATCAGGAACTAATGGGATACATGACTTGGGAGAATTTGTATTTTTTAGCTTGTCAACCAGTGGTATCAAACTCAAATAGAAATGGAGGCAGCTACATTCATAAAGATCATTGCAGATGCATATTGACTTGTTTTAAAATGTAGCATTATTGATGTTCTATTGTATTTTATTTATGTTGTTAAATATTTCTCAGTTACATTTTCATCCGGTTCAGGCCACACTTGGGAATATTGCAGGCCACAGGCCGCATGCTTCACACCTCCATTCTAGACACTGTCCGAGATCTAGGTTATGGTTACCAAATGCCACTTACAGATATTTCTGTTAACTCATATTTTCTTTTAAACTGATGAAATATCAAAGAAGAGGCCAGTAAGCCTTATGTGAAGGAGTTATTTGCCATTCCTCCCCAAGAATACCTGGATTTAGAGTTACAAGGGTCCTTGGAGACTGCCATGTGCGACTGTCTCCTTTTATTGTGGGTCTTACATTATTAAGAAGGAAATAATAACTATTTATATAGTGCTTCAGCATTGGCAAAGTACTCCTACATACGTTATCGTGTTTGAGCTGAATGGAATGATTATCCTTGCCAGCAGAACAAACTAGGACATGAATGGATTGGTTCAATCACTGCTACTAAAGGTACTGAAATTATGTTCACTGGTAAGTTAGTGACATTGTCAGGCAGCCAGTCAATAAACATTTATTAAGTGTCTGTTGTGTGCCAGGCACTGTGCTAAGTGCTTTACTGCCTCTGACTTTTCAGAGCAGAGCATTTATTTTTTCCTATTTTAATTAATAACATTTGTGTGGTTTTTTGTTTTCAATGTAACGTAACCTCTTTAGACCTGCACTAAAACTAGGCTGTAGACTATAGCCTTGAAATTCCAAGTCTGATGCTTCAACACTGGTGCTTCTCAAGAGTATTTGTTGTTCTTGTTGAGCCATTACAGTTCATCAACTTTTCACGACCTCCATTTGGGATTTTCTTGGCAAAGAAAACCACTGAAGTGGTTTGCCATTTCCTTCTCTAGCTCATTTTACAGACAAGGAACTGAGGTAAACAGGGCTAAGGGACTTACCCAGGGTCACAAAGGTGGTAAGTGTCTGAGGCCACATTTTAACTCAGGTCTTCCTGACTCCAGACCCAGTGATC